ATATATATATATATATATATATATATATATATATATATCCGAGGCTCTAAACAATCAAATTAGAGCCCACCTCAAAAATTTCACTAGAAGTGGTTGTTTCGATGTCCAAATATCCAAATTAATCATCTCAACATCAAGATGCATTACATGCGAAAAGAAATTGATTTTAAGTTTTTGAAATAGTGCATCATGTAATACAGTTTTGGACCGTCAATTTTCAAGGTTTTCAATTTTTCATAGATATGCTTGATCTACCCTATTTTTGAAGTTTTAAATTTTATAATTAAAGATAAAAATATATTTTATAGCTCTCAAAGATTTCCAGTATTGAAACCACATTTCTCGACACTATTTGAAGGTACACTTTACTTTGACTGTTTAGGGCCTCGACTAGAGCTAATGTTAGCCCATCGGCTCATGGAATAGTACAAACTCAAGGGCTCAAAATGATTATGGGTCAATCCAATTATCACATTTTATTTGAATTTTAATTTATTCTCAACAAATCCAAATCACTTGAAATTTGGAGCCTCCATTTTTTAAAAATAGTAGAATCTAATAAAAATTTCAAAAAAATAATTCACAAAACTAAATTAATCAAATTACCCTTAGAACTTTTCATAGGTATTTTGATCAATTTAATTTTTATGAATTATTTTTTAATATTTTTATTAAGTGCACCTTGATGAAAAAAATGGACGTCTCAAATTTCATATTATTTATATTTATATAAATAACATTAAAATTATATTACGAAATACAATCGTGACCATCGAATTAGCCCAAATTCATTTTGGATCATTGAGCTTACAATATTCTATCAACAGGTGGGCTAACCTTGGCTTTTTCCATATATCAAGGTTTTCGACATAAAGAAAGGTTGATCCGTTGAAAAGGTAGACCACATGGAGGTTGTCTTTTTCCATATATCAAGGTCTTCGACATAAAGAAGGGTAGATCCGTTGAAAAGGTAGACCGCATGGAGGGTGTCTAGGGTTAGCACGGCAATTTAAGGGGGTCAAGAATCATCGGGACCGAACTGGTTCCCGCTAAATAGTGGGAACTAACCGATTCCCCATGACATGACTCCACCACTTTTTTAAAAAAAAAATAACTTTTACCAGATTTTAACCGGATTACATATCTGCCCAACCGAATTGAAAATCCAAGTAGGTAATCCCGGTCATTGAATTTCGAAGCGCTCGAGGGGTGCATGTTTTGCACAATTGATATTTCTCCATGTAAATAGAACCTTTTCCGCCATAGAAATTCAACTGCCAACATAAGAATGAGTCCTCCAAGTTAGTTAAATTATTATAAAAAGACATTTCAATGACATTTCACTACATAAATAGCAAAAATTCAAAGCGCCCCAGAACAGTGAGATAAGAGCAACATGGCAGGCACCCATAAATTAAGCCATACATTAATATTTTTTGCCATAGAAACTCATCCAACTATACAAATTCACAATAATCTCCATAGGCCCTTCCAAAGGAGCTTCAAGAAAAAATATCACCAGGTAATTTTGCTCATGGGTCATCAGCACCCCATGCCTCATCTCTCATCTTTTGCCGCATTTGTATTCGATTTCTTCTGGCCTCTTCTTGTTTCCTCAACTCTCCAATACCAAAGTTGGAAGACACTCTCTGACCCATGCCCTGTGCAATCAATCTCTGTGCAGTGCTTGCTGAGGTCTTTGGCCTTGGGTAAGGAGGCTCAAGATCTAAGTACAAAAAGAAAGCTGATGTCACATTGTTCCGAATTATTTAAGCGCAGTAATATATGAGATATAAAGACTTGATGATTAATACAGATAGAAGAAAGATATAAGAATTCACACTAACTATTTTAATCCTCAGACAAGGAAGTTATGATTTTGATTTTGTTAAAAACAAACTTATGATTTTGATTATTGAATTTTTAGAAGAAATGACTAGAAGTTCATGATGTAACTGATTTCATTTCCTACCAACAAAGTTGGGTACATTGAATCTATATGCTACAACTCAAGGAGTTATCTGAGAAGAAGCTCAGACGCTATTGTGTACGTTTGCATTTCAGGGACACAGTAGTGATTTTGTCTTCTTTTGATTGGAGAGAGTTGTAATCGAGTGTTACATTTTCGGTTGATATTAGCGAAAGCCTTAATTTTTTTTCCCCATTTGCTACTACAGTATATTTAACTCATTAAGAAGGCAATGAAAATCTCCTTTTAACCTCGATTCTTTTACCAATCAAGAAGGTTACTGAGATCTCCATAACTCCTGAAATAAATCACCTCATGACCTGCACATGCTTCATTATATAGAAGTTTGTGAACAGAAGGAAGCAATGAGAACAAAAACTTTATCGATAATACAGATAGAGATGACAAATATTAAGGGATTCTTTTTTTTCTCCTATGCTATATTAGGGGATTCTTTTTTTTTTTCTCCTATGCTATATTAGGGGATTCTTTTTTTTTTTTCTCCTATGCTATATTAGGTTGATTTGATATGATCATTTTATGGACAGACTGTACAACATACATCATTCTGAAGGAACGAGTGTTAGTGAATAAAAAAGCAAGTAATACCTTTCATAGAAATGGAGCTCACAAGGCTATCATCCTCTTCCAAACTACATATAATGTATGGAGAGCTGCCGTTTTTACGAGCTTCACACGCTGCAATAGAACACAATATTCAAGTAAATCAAAGTATCAAATAAATCTACATGTGCTCAAATTTAAATCCACATAACAACCTCAGATCTACATCTATAAGAGAAAAAATGAATACCGACAAACCTTAAGCATCAAAACAAAAGAGAAAATCTTCAATCGATGTCTCCAGAATAAGTTTACATGGGATGAAGGAAAATACATGTTCATGCAAATTTAGCAAAAAAAATGCTTTGGCAAAATTTATTTGTGAAGACAAAAATAAGTAGAGGAGCTTCCTATTTTCAATGGGCAAATGTAGCTACCATCATAAGTTATGGTACGCTAGGAATCCTAACAGGTAAATAGACATTCTTCCCCCTAACTTACACATTAATTAGAAGTCAGAACATTGTCCTCTCCAGTTCTAGCACAAGATGTAAGTGAACTCAAGACTTCCATTCTTAATAGTTTAGTTATCACAGGATATTCCAGGTTCTATGCCTCCAGATCGACAACACAATGAAAAGTAAGTCGATAATTGACAATGAAATGAGAATGTCCATAGGGCGATTTACATATAAAACAGACCAAAGAATGCAAAAGAACACCCATGCCCAAAAGGGACTTATAACTAAGTAACCAAACTCCCAAACCCATCCACACTACCCCTGAACCAAATCACATTGAATTTATATGAAAACCAAGATAACAAAGAAGAGCCCAAGATGAAACAGTTTTACAGATGACAGCACGCAATTTCTACACCGTAATGAATGTAAGACCAACGGGTTACTTTTATGTCTACTAGATATATCGAAATATCTCAGGGAATATACACAAGTCTGGTGTGTGTCAAGTGTATTTAGATTACATACAGCCAATATTTGTAAAACCTCAAATATATAAATTGCTAAAATGAAAGTGATATTAAAGATACCAACCTTTTTTCTTTTAGATAATTCATGCGAAACGATTTCTTTCAGAAGGTTATTGTCAACCTTCGAAAGATAACTCCAGAACCACATAGGGGTCCCCCCCTAGCAACTCCCCTCTCATAGTGAACTCTAAATGAAGATATTCTTACTGGAACATTAGGGGCTTGGGTGATCCCAGGAAAGAAATGGTCCTCTTGGCCTTTTGTTGCACTTACTCCCCTAAGGTTATAGCCATACTCGAACATAAGCATCCTTATCCCAACCTCTCCTTTGTCCGCAAAGTGTGGGGCAACCGCCCCTATGAATGGGAGGCCCTTGACTCCCAACGAGGCTTGGGCACTCAGTCTTCACCACCACGAGGATGCAGCCATGGCATAGTTTTCTATCTCTATTTCTTTCTCAAGAGTCTCCAACAAGACCTTGTGGTTCTTCTCTATCGTCTACTGCCCGGATTTTTACCATCTTAGAAAACAGCTTTGGGGTGAAATAGTCGAGCCTCCCCCACTACTCCCCAGACATGTTGTATTGGCAGTCACTTAAATGTCACCCGATGGACCCACGAGAAACAAGAACCACGACCTTACTTGCTCTATGTTGGCCTTCCCTGAGTTCATCCATAAAGATGAACTCCAAAACCATCACTTTATGTGAAAAAGAGAAGTAGAAAGTCATTCCTAATTGTATGCCTTTATGTGGATGATTTGATTTATACTGGTACAAACCAAAAATTGGTGGAAGAATTTAAGAAAACCATGATGAGAGTGTTGGTTGATTGGGGTCTCACTGCGGCTTACAAACATCAAGGTGGACATGAACTCCCAAAAATGGGACCTAAAATCAAGAGATTTGGAGGCACAAGATGCTCTCGCTTTCTTCAAAGTGTTAAATGCCTCCGTCTCGGTAAAATCCGAAGTGCAAACGGGTTCCTACGAGTACACTCCCAGGATACAATCAGATCGGAATACAAATCCTGAGTCTCTGAGTTGCACACTCATGTGACCCGCACAAAACCACAATCACAAAAATTATTGATGTCTTTCCAATTGGTATGGTAACACAAACATCAATTGGAAATAAATATCTCTCTCACTACAAAATCATCATCCAATCGATATAATTAAACATCGATTAGGATGGCAAACTTCTCTCTCTCTCACTACAAAATTTATCATCCAATCAATGTATTACAATAAAATATTGATTGGAAACATCTTCTCTCACTGAAATAAGTCTTCTAATTGGTAAAATAACAACTTAAAATCGATTGAGAAACCGAAGCATAGATAAGATCATCCCATGCCTTAAAATAAATTATTAAAATGTAACAATACCTGTTACATGAAAATTGTGCGAGGTTAGTGCTTCACTATCTCTTACCAAAGAGAAAGTACCAGCCTTATATGAGAGAGAGAGAAGCCCACTGTAAAATTTAGTGAGAGAGAGCTCACTATCAATAAGGACCTCTAGAGAGAGAGAGAGAATACGATTAAATGAGAGGGGCAAACCTTTGTAACACCTCATTGTGAGGTGTCAATAAAACAAACAAATGGGGTTGCAAAAAATGCCACAAGTGTGGTAAAACAACCACCTCATGTAATGACTTTTTCCAAAAGCTGGTGGACCAATTGTCCACACTATAAAAATAGACCACCAAATAATTTTTAAGAAAATAGTTGTTTTGAAACATTTTCTGCAAAAAGCTAACAATCCCCCACTTGTTTCAAAATAATAAGACCTCTTCCATACATATCAGGAAAGACGAATGCATAACTGAAAGTGTCTTAAAGACTTCAACGTCCATGTAGTGTTATGCAGAATGCTTACCAGGACAGTGAGTGGACATACCTTGAACTATGTCCTTTATTGATAAGCCTCCCACATACCGCACATTCTCTTTCAAAAACAAAAATTGTAGTTTTCTAAAAGGCTTGCGCATTTAAAGGCCCACGCATTTAAAGGCCCTGCATTAATCCTGGTTTTCATGAGCACTCTAGAGAATGCCCAATTCCCATAAAAAGCGGCCTCCACTTCCACACTCAAATAGGTGAATCCATGGAAGATGTCCTATAGAGCGACACCCCAGCCTAGGCCTCATATCATCCAGGCAAATGGTACCACACAGCCAAGGATAAGGCAGAAATTTTAGAAATTTCCTTAAAATAGAATTTTGTGGTACTCACATTCATCAAACATCATACAAGCAACTTGTTCTTCCCATTGAACCTTGGACTTGGGATCTCCTTATCCTAGGTAGGGTTCCTCGCCTTGTGGCATAATATATTTGGGCTCGATCCCATTCCTCTAGCTACCTTCCAGACTTGGTGCCTTGCAAGGTCTTTTATAAATATTCTTTTAAGTCCTGGGTAAAACAGATATGGAGTACTACTACGACTCCATCTCAAGCATAAGTCTCAACTGACTGTGCCTCAAGAGTATAACTGGATTTCTTGAAATAAATCCCTAACCATTCACTTGGTATACACAGACTTCACAGTCACACTGAATGAGACTGCAGGTATGGGCCTTGAACAAGTGATACGTCTACCATCAAGTCCTTAGCCACTTAGCCTCCTCACACTGGGTTCCAAGAAATTTTCTCCAATCATCTGGAGATACAATTATTCATCTTGGAATCCATAAAATACACAACCACAACAAGTGGAGATACATTTCAAAGTCATAAATTCATAAGAATCCAAAAACCATCACTGTACCTTATAATATAGCGGATCACCCACATTATGTAGGCCATGGTCTATAGTTCCTTTCAAATATCTTAGGACCCTAAAGACCGCATCCAATGCTCTACACCGGGGTTGCTGGTATGACCCACAGCAAAGGGTAATCATAAGTCTCAAACAAAACATGCCTACCAAAGTGTAAATCCAAGACTAAACAAAATATCTCCGGATTTTGGGGGCATAAAACAAATTTAAAAAACAAGGACATCACTAGACTTGAAAAGTCCCTTTGCCAATTACCTTAGCAGAGATGCGGTAGTCATTTTATAGGACAATGTCACCCCCATTATTTCCAATAGATCCCAAAAAACAAGCTTAAATTTTGAAAACATGTTTGGAGACATCCAGTTCATCGCCTACTATAAAGTCATCAGAGATCATAATATAATATGTTCATCGATCACCTAGGCCTAAAGCTTTTGCTTGTTTCAAAGCCTGCAGAAATTCTGTGCATGACCAGTTCAACCATAGAATCAACAAATACATGCTTAGCAGGCAGACACCATTGGTCTGAATATTACACACCTTCCAATTTTAAAGAAATTGGAACCTCGACTGCCATCTCCTGTAATTAATCCCTTCAAAAAGATCCAGCCTTACAAAATCCTGGGTAATTGCTTTACTCAAGGTTCCAACAGCCATCTCGTAAATTCAATAAGCTTGACTGACGGTCGATAAATAGCTTGACTGACGGTCGATAAATAGCCTGACTGACAGTTGATAACTGCACTGACTCTCGATGGCTTGACTGACGGTCAATAACCTCACTGACGATCAATGGATTGACTTCAGTCGATAGCCTCACTGACGGTCGATGGCCTAACTTACAGTTGATAGCCTTACTGAGGTCGATGGCCTGACTTAAAGTCGATAGACTCACTCTGACAGTCGATGGCCTAACTTACAGTCGATAAGACTTATCATTTTCTCAAATCTCGAGAAAAATCGGTAGCACCTCCCCTTATCCAAGAGAAAAACGGTAGCACCTCCCCTTAGCCCGAGATAGTGCTAGAAAAATACCATAATAGTCTTAATAAAATTCGGACTCCCATAGGAATCAAAGCATGTTTCAGAGGTTGTATCTGAAAACCGGAACACGCCAAGTACCAATCGGACTCCCGTACGAATCAAAACAGGATTCGGAGGCTATACAAAGCGACAGTGCAAATCTGAAATCTGGCCTTACACAATCCTGGTTATTATATTTTAGCGAGTCATCAATAGACATCTCCAAAGGTAACCAATTTTAACACTTGGAAATTGTTGGTTGTTTGGGGTCACAAAACATCATGGTGGACATGAACTCCCAAAAATGGAACCCAAAATCAGGAGATCTGATGGCACG